TTCATTTAGGTTTAAATAAATTTTGTTTGGCATTATTCTCTCGAATGTTGGAATAATAAATTTCGCCTGTCGGTGTCCGAAATTATCAAACATTTTGTAAAATTACAATGACGGGTAATGAAAACAGATGACTGATGAACACCGATGAATTTTAACGATAAATTCAGATTATCAAAAGTCAATTTTATATAGTATTGTCAGAACAGTTTCGAAATGTCAAAATACACTGTACGTTAAAGGGTATCCATAAATGATTTGATTTATTATATTTGTAAACAATTTAAATTCAAAAATATTCAATGAAATGAAAAGTTATTTAATTTTTATCAATATTTTAAAAATGTTTTCTATATAATGAGACTTTCTTTTTTCACGAACGTTAGCAAATTCATTCAGTTTTATTCCCGATTATGACAAGAAGCATACAGCGGATGTGACCGATCGACATGGGATGTCCACTCCTCTATGTCACCTTTTCCAACCTCTGTTGTTTTGGAGGTCCATGTTTGCTCCGCTCCTTTTTTGTTATGTTTAATGGAATTTTGAGCTTGAATACTGTTCGTTATCTCCACGTATTTCATTTATTTTACTGTTCTATTTTTGGTCGGTGATTTATTGTTCAATTTTAAAATCTTTATGATTACCTCATCTGAAAAAAGTGTTAGAACTGTCATGCCAGTTTATTTGATATTTTAGTAAATATGTTATTTTATAACCAAGCATAATTTTTAATTTTGATATTATTGAATACTTTACTGTCATAGCTTATTTTGTAGTTGTTTTTAATTTTTTGTATGTATAATAAAGAGACGGATTTGAATGGAAAATGAAGTTTATTATAAAGAAACAAATGTCATCAATAAATGAGTTTTGAATTACTTTAACAAACTTCGAATACAGATATTCATGTTATTTGCTATGATTAAGTCCTTTGTGTGACAGTATATAAAAGTGCCATATATTGCTAGTGGAGAACAAATTCGTTTAATTTTTTTGAACTGTTAGACTTAATTATTAAATCATGCCGTAATAATAAATTTAGTTCGTGTTCGTTTGTACTCAGCATCAAATCAATTTTTGTTCAATTCCAGCTATTGTTTTGCACTTAATAATGTAGGACGTATATCAATATTTATGGATCTGTAATGTGTTTGTTCTTTGATGATTCAATTCCATTATTTTGTATGGCTGCTACAATTTTTAATGATATTTAAGGATTTCCGTCTGCCCGAGGGATGCAGTTACAACACATTGCTTTGCAAAAAGCGGAAAAGACATAGAATTCCTGATTTTTTTTCTTCATCCGTTGTAAAACCAAAAATATAAGTAAAATAAATGTTTTTAAAGTATATGAAACTTTTACCATGTCATATGGTACATCTTTTCAAAAGAAAGAGAACTATTTAGTGAACAACATTAAAAATCTACAAAATTTATATCTGGATTTCCACCTTTTTACAAATGGTAAAATATTCATGGATACGGTCCGGCGCACTTGCATCTGGAAAACTAAAATAGACAGTCCTTTAACAATTTATAGTAACCCTTCCGAATCGGAATCAAGATACCAGCTTTTTTCTTGAATGCTATATAAACTAATTATTTGAAACATACCTATTTAAATAAAACGATAGAATGATTACATATTTAAAAGAAGACATTTTTAATTTTGAGAAATTGATTTAAGAGGTTGAAAAGAACTTCCAATTCTGGAAATTACTCAAGTAATGAAGATGAGAGAGCTTCTGAAATTTATTTGTGCTCTCTTAAATACTTCGTTCTTATCATTATCGAAGTTTTCTTCGTTTTGAACTTGATATCGTGTATGCTTGAAAGACAGCATGTTCATGTAAAAGACAAGATTCGTATGTACAATTTTATGGAGAATTAATCAAAAAGACCCAATAAGGCAAACACATTCCCTGTAGATGTAATGTCCTCTGGGTGTCTTTTTTTCCATAATCACATACTACAAGACAGATTACTTAACTGTTAAGTCTATATCTAATAGTTACAGGGGATTTCAATTTCTAATTAAGCACAGAGCTCTACTCTGTCAAATCAAAGCTTTATTTTAATTCTTATAAAACGATAATTTCATTATATTTATTTCATTATACTTAGTTACATAATAGTAAGGTCAAAAAAATAACATTGTGGATTCTTATATAGAATTATTGTGACTGAATTAATATTGATTGCGTCCAAAGTAGAAGTTTATAAAGCTTGTAAAATTTTACTTCATATTAAAAATGGTCGTGAAATTCTAATTGATTCGTCACTAGCTATGAAAAGATTCTAAAGTTTTTATTAATACAATGAAGATATTTTCAGACATTTTATCGAGAGTTTTGTATTTATATAAATACAGCAGTATTTATAAAGGTAAAAAACTTTGTTTTAAAGGTAAAAGTGAATTCAAATTCCCAATATTTTCATTTCATAATTGATTTCTGAATAAATATGCATGCTAAAATATTAAAACTAAAATACCACTAAAATATTAACAGCAGTGATGGAGGAACGTCAAGAGTATTGGGCAACAACATACAAGTACTCCAGAAGTAGTCTAAATCAAATGTGGATACTGTAGAAGTGGAATACATTACGGTGTTTTTAATTTTACTATGTTCATGATTGAAGAATTTTTCCGCGAACTCTTAGCTATCGTGAATATTATCTTACTTTATACCTAGCTAAAGCCGACAATGAATGTTATATATATGAAATCAATTATCCGTGAAATTAAAGCCACCGTGAAAGGTAACTTTCCTACAAACCGTGACATTTTAGACACGTGAAATTAAAGACGTCTATATTACTTACACAATCAAAAAAAACCTCTTAAAAATATGAAATCATTTTTTTTCAAATTCAATAAACATCAAAACATACGACGCATTGCCTAAGATAAATAAAACCAAGGCTTTTTGGTATCATTGACAACTGCTTTTACAATGAAAATGAAACTCGTTTTATTGACTTTTTCATTGAACATTTGCTAAAATATTTTTTTTTAAATTTTCAATTGGACATTAAAGAACTCTAAAATTGATATTAAAAGATGCTTGAATTTCTGATGGACAATATCTTTGTACTTTTGGAGGTCAAATCTGGCAGCAATTTGTAAATAAGAATTCCAATTACTACCAATCGAACCTCCTTATATTAGCAGACTTATTTTTGTATTACAGAATGCAGAATTCATTCAACAACTTCACCAAAAAGAAAAAAAATGAAAAATACCCTGGCTCATTTAGATTTATCGTGTATACATGTTGTTTTACATCTCGTTAGAGAATTTTTCATTCATATAGACGCGTCACCATTTACCGGTGAAAGGCTTCAAATCTAGACCTTTACATTGGCACTGAGAACAGTTGTGTTGTGAGGGTGGTTTATTGTGAATTGCCAACCATGACATTTGGCTTTGAATTTTAATTAAAGTTCTTTAAACTTTAGACTTTCTACATACATGTATTATTAAGTTTATTAAATCATATATGGTTTGTTATTGAGCACATTATATACAGTTTATTTGAAGAGCTAAACTATGTAATTTAAAGGTGATTCATGTTTAAGCATATCTAAAGTATATTTTTTATACTTCAAGTGACAACCCTTAACATGAAGTATATTCTTTTCAAACCAATATTGCACATAAAATCAAAGACTGGCTTCGATGAAAGTTTTATTAAGGGTTTTCATCAATACAAAAGAGGCTTTAATTACTATTTTAGAATCGATTACAAGATAAATTACGTTGTTCTCCGGTCTGCATACATGAAATATGACACCTTATTTTATGAGTCCAGACAAATATCAATGTTGACATAAACACCCACTTTTGTTTTATAGAATCTCAATCAATCTACAGGTTGTAATCTCTCTGAAATCCATGCACTGTGTAATCAAAGATTATTACACCTGATAGAAATTAGCGAAAGTGTCAATCAATAGCTTAATGTAAAACCAAAAAAAAAAAGCTCTTGTTTTATTTTATTTTGAAGAAAATCTTATGCGAATTGAAATTATTGCTGATTGCCACTGAACCAATAAATGAAAAAAAAACTGAGAAAATTTTTGAAATAGATGTACATTTAAAAAGTGCTGTAACATTTTCAATCATGTTTATGGATATCTTGCTTCGATGTTTTGATTGATTTTGTCTCATTGCATATTTCTCATTTTAATAAAATCATTGTCCAGTGTATTTCTTTACCTATAAATCAAAAAAAATAACATAAGCAACACATAAAACTCAGTCACACTGCGTTCTACGTCTTTGATAGGGTTGGTAACCATTTGTGGAACAAAGTCGATCAAGATGTCTAGGCCTAAGATTTTGGAACGATTTTTAGAGTACCTTTGACATGTCAGAATCTACAGCATTAGAAAGTCGCTAAAGTTAATTAAAAGGAGAGACCACTGGTAACACTTAGGTGGGCTATAAGATTGATATGCACCTTCGACTTGGTTGTGTTTATCAATGTTTTCAGTCTCCGAGGAGACAGCCCCCAATTCGTAATAAGTGACCGTTTTGTAATTTTATACAATAAATTGTTGTTTTTATTAAGAACCTCATAAAAAAGTTTCATATTATCTATTAATAAATGAGAATGTGTATCTGTTTCGTTAGAATGATATGGACAGGAGAATATTTTTCTTTAAAATTTAGTACTGTATATTGGCGAATAATCACGATGGGTTTTAATTTCACTATGTTCGCGATCTATTAGTTTTCCACGAAATTAAACCCATCATAAATGCTAACGTTAGTGTTTTGAATATGTTTTAATGCTTATAAGAACTTTGAAATAGTGTCTTGTTGCGTGAAATTAAAACAACTGCGATCGGTACTTTTTTAGAAATCGTGAAATTTTAACTCCGTGGAATTAAAACGACCTGCAGTATTTGATATATGTATTACTTTGAAATTATATAAATATTCATCTACGTTGTTAATTGCATTTTCACTTGGTCTACCTTTGTTTTTGTAGATGTATCATGACCTTCTATTCAAAGATACTTGCATCCATCTCGAGAAAGAAAACCATTGACAACAAGCGTCTACTTGAAACTGATTTGAAAAGACAGCTCAATGTCCCAGATGTTCTTGGCATTGGTAATTTATATTTAACCTATAAAATCCCAGTCAAATAGGCAAAGAAAACGAACAGAGATCGATCTCAAAATCTACAAAATGTTCAAATGATACAGTATATAAGAGGGCATAGCCCCAGAGGTAGAATTAAGTACGTAGGAGGAGTAGGTACATGTATCCCCTGTTGACCGGTCACACCTACCGTGGGCCGTATGAATTGATGGAGGACACATTGCCTAGTTACATCTAGTTTAAAACAAAGGGCTAACATTTCATATGAAACAAGTCATCCAAAATTTGACCCAAGAATAGATTATTTTTTGCTAAAATGTTCATTATAACGACTATAAAACTTATGAAATACCTATTTTAACGATGTTGTTGATTCCCTGTAACCTCTACTTATCAGTGAGTAGTATGTATCACTTTAATAAATGGTTCGTACTCAGAACAAAATCTCGAATAGCGAATCTGTTGGGAGACATAATATCGTAAACAGTCAGTAAATGTTGAATATGATAAATGCTGAAATCATATCATTTCGTTTGTCTTAAAATCTGGTTGTAAGCTGGCCCTTATCTTCTTTCGTCGGTAAAAAATCTTGATGTGAAATAGATGTGGCAGGTTCCGTGGTGTCTTTTATTTCATGTTCAGTATTGAGTTGACATAAAAATAAAAATAACTATTGTTAAATGAAAAAATCATAGTTGATATAAATCTTATTGTCCATTTGAATCCCAAAGATCCCACAGCAAGTGTTTTCCTCTTCTCATATAGAAGTTTTCGAGTACTCTTTGCTTCGCTGGAATATTAAAACGGGTCAGTTAATAATGGAGCATAATTAGCGGGCTTAAAAATAGGAGAGTGCGTTTCTTGGGAAAGTTAATCTCCATAGATACTATTGAGCTTGAGATAAAAGATACCACAGAATCTGTTTCATATTTGGATATTTTACTTGAAAAAGACATTAATGGTAATCTAACAACCAAGCTTTATGATAAACGTGATGACTTTAACTTTACAATTGCTAACTTTCCTTAATTATGCAGCAATATACATTCATCACCTGCATACGGACTTCATATATCTCAGTTGATTCGATATATGAAAGATCATGCCTACGTATGAACAATTTCTAAAAGGAGATGAATTATTAACAAACAATTTGATGAGACAAGAATATCAGCATTCTCGTTTAAGGTAATCATTTCGTAAGTTCTATGGACAATGCAATGACCTTATCAGGAAATGCAATTTTTCATTGATCAAATACATTTTTCAAACTACTCTGTAATTTTTAGTCCATTGTTATACACTGAATGGACGACAGTTTTCCTCCGTTATTTCCCGATCATGGAACAAGGAACACTCGGCGAGTGCGACAGGTCAGCAAGTGATGTTCACTTCTCCATGGCACCTGATCCCAGCTCTGATGTTTTGGAGGTCCGTGTTTGCTCTGCTCCTATTTTGTATTGTTCTATGGACTTTTGATCTTGAATACTGTTCGTTATCTCCATTTGTTTCATTATCATTTGGTATGATGACGTTCTTAACAAGAATTTTAAAAAAAATCAAACAATCATATTAACTATTTTTCTGGGAAAGACTGTTTTGTATTTGGTCACAAAATGGAGTGTATATTCTACGTCAACAACGTTATCGGGATATCAGATTAATAGACAATATCAAAAGTCGTAATTTGTTTCAGATCAAGATATAAAATAATGCTTTATATAATTAATGTTTCTTACAATCAATCGCAATGCCCTCACTAAATAATGATGGAAATCTCTTCTGTCAGATCATAACGGTGAAATGCTTTTATATCAATGATAGGACAATGTCATAACACATTGCTTGAACATAAAGTTGATGGCATTTTTGTGTTTAGTTTCATCAAATAAAAAGTAGAAGCAATCACGCAAGCAATAATTGACCGCCACAAGGAATGCCCTGCCTATTAGATAATGTGTTTTCACTTGCTACTGATGTCCAAATGAACTTATATTTTGCTGTTAAATTCCCGCATGTTACTACTGATGGGATAAAATAATGGAAAAATAACACGCAAAACATCTGCACGGTGAATTATTTCGTGATATTTTTTAACGTATCCAAGTGCATTGTGACTAAAACAATCTATGAGAGGGAATTTTAAAAATAAATTAGAAAAAAATTCTCTTCACAGCTTCATTGATGGTATCAGATGCAATAAGATAAATGAATTTCCTTAAGTGAAATAAATAATTGAAGTTCATATAAGGATATTGCTAATACAACATTTCTTACATTTTTTAGAAGAATTTTTCAAGAATTATTAATTTTTTTGCTAACCTTAGTCCATTATTATTGATTTCAGTTCAAAAATTTCCCTAAGCTTATTATTATTCAATGAATTAATTGTTCTGTATTAATTAAATTCTGAGAAGTATAAATAGGCGATATTTTTATACGCTGCCATTCCACCCAATTAGAGTCCCTTTCAGATTTGTAAGTCAGCCCGACACTTCTTTTTGGTTATTTGGTAACTGTTGAAGTTTTTTTTTATCTTACTTTGTTTCCTGGCCACCAATGCTTCATCTTTCTATGTTTTTGGGCTGTGGTACTTTGTTTATGTCCCGATTTCAAATGCATAAAGAAAGTTTTTACCTCTGTGGGATTTGTGGACTCTACAGTTGTAAGCTTATCTGTAAGTACCCAAACTCCCGATTATTCATGTACTGCTTTCATTTCTGTCGGTTAGAGGATTTGGAGCCTTTATAAGCTTAGCAAACAGTAAACCTGATTGAGCAGTCTCAAGACCGGTGTGACTGGTCGACAGGGGATGCTTACTCTTCCAAGGCACCTTATTCCAACCGGAATTTCCAACCATCCGTGGTTGTGCACACTTCACAAATTTGTTTTGTTTGTGGATTTTTAAGATCATTCACTGTTCGACATTTTCACTTTTTTTCATAAGCCATTATTATGTATATTTCTTTCCATTGTAGGACTTGGAGGCTCTATCGGTCTAGCAGTATATGTGCTGATTACTTATGTTGCACGATCGGTTGCTGGACCTGCTGTAGTTCTCTCTGTTCTTCTCGCATCCGCCACCGCCACACTCTCCGGTAAGATCGTCCTGAGTATTAAACTGTGATATATATTTTGTCCTTTTATTAAGATTTGTACAAATGAATCTTGAAATTTATCGAAATAAACATCAGTGAACGTGCACCAAGACAACTGAACAAATACCTGTATATTGGATTCAGCACTCGTAAGTGATTAAAAATCCAAAAGTTTGTTTGACCATGAGATTGCCTCTAAAGTTTTAGCTTTGATAACCTTTTTACAGAAATCTTTAATATGTCATTAGAGCACTTTGTCTAATGAGCTTAATCTACTTTTGATAAATACGAATGCTTTCTGAAATGGACTGATCATCAGATAATGGGCATAATAACCATATATCATTAGTAATAGCGAGATGAAAAACTTTTGCTGTTTTAAAATAGAGAAATTTGAATTCAAAGAGTAACTTTGTAATATTTTTACAATACAATATTTTTATCAATTTTATTGTTTCATCTTTTTTAGTTTAGAAAAAAATCTTTCCAATACATTCACCAATTTAATTAGTGTAATATTTCTCAATAAAAAATATGTTGGACTTTCCAGGATTATGTTTCACAGAATTCTCTCTACGTCTACCCCGTACTGGATCAGCGTACGTTTATACTTACGCTACAATTGGTGAACTATGTGGGTTTGTGGTAGGATGGAGTCTTATCTTGGAACACAGCATTGGTGTGGCGATATCCGCCAAGGCATGGAGTCAATATCTCGGCCATCTAACAAACAATTCCCTTCCAAGGTAATCAGTAAGATCTTCAATGTAGTCTGATGGCAATATTTCATTTACAAAAATTATTTACTAATTATTGGATTGCAATACCGTTATACAGTTGATATTTTAGTGATATATAAATCATTCTGTTCCGAAAACGAAAAACTTAATAACTATTTTTTTTATATGGATGTATCTAGAAATCAGGTTTCCTCATTCCAGTTTGAATGATTTGTCATATACATTCAGTTGTTGTCCATGCATAACTCAACACACATCAAAGGATCCACTCTCCACAAAAAGTTTAAGAACAATCAAAAATTATTTATCGCTAGTAGCTCCATTATTCCAAACATTGTTCTTCATAAGCAAAACTTATTGAATACACCTTTGACAAAATTATTTATTCAACCCTCTTTCAACTTGCTTAAGATAGATGTTTATTTGACAATGAAATTTTGCAATAAATTTGCCCCTTGATTGCTTTCGTCGCTTATTGCGGATATTACTTACACTGAAGGGAGTTCTGGTATGAAATATTACGAAACCTTAATCATTTTGTGTTTCTTAAGCTCGATATTTACAAGTCCTTACCTGCATGTAACAATCCAGTAAAGTGTTTAAAAAAATCTTTCAATAAAACATCAAAATGCCCTCTTATTACATGTACCCAGTAGTCAAAAATTGCGTATTTGGAGAAATAGTGGCACCTCTGTATGGAAGTTTTAAGGGTAATGGACATTACGCACGGCCTTGGTGTCAAATTCGGTAATGTTGAAATGCCTTTATTTTACATGACATTAGATAATTGATTTGACGTTACTTTTTTTTTACTTACGTTTTATATGAAGGATAAAATATAAACCCAGATATGTCGTCAAATATATAATGCAGTTAATTGAAAAAACAAGATAATTTGCTCAAACAAGAATTCCATGCAGCTGCGTATTTATTTTTCTTTGGCTCACGGTTTGATTCTTATTTAAAAAATTCTTTGGAAGAATTTATTCTTAGAAACTGCAACTATTGAGAACAACCACCATGCAAGGTCTCTATTCTTATCACAGGAATAGGGATTTGTTTCATTTTTTAAAAAATATAAATTTCCCAAACATTCAGAGTAATACGACACTGATCTTTATTTTCTTCTACCATGAATAGCCATTTGTAGTGGAAGTAGTTTTACGTTACAAATGTATTTTTCTTACACAGATTGATGAACTCGTCATTTCATTGGTCAGATGGGCATTACATTGACCCATCACCCGACCTCATTGCTGTTCTGTTACTGATTGTCTGCACGACTCTAATGCTCATTAGTACCAAGGTATGAATTATAATTTAGAAATAATAAATGCGAACACAATATTAACATATTTCTTGTAAATTTTAATAACCATAGTTGTATATAATAAATGTGTTATCTAAAATACTTTTAGTTATCCACAGTCGTTAACTGCGTGTTATGCATTTTTGGCGGCGTGGTGGTATTCTCCATTATCTGTGTGGGATTCTTCCACGTACAACACGACAACTGGACGGGTGGGGAGGGATTCTTTAGATTTGGAATACAAGGAGTAAGTTATAGAATAATAAAACTATTGTTATTAAATAATTCATAGATTTTCACACACTGATGTCAAAATTTCAAACATTCAGGTCTGCATTTGTATATAATGACGAAAAATCTTAATAAAGTGTAATTTAATTGCTTCTTCTTGTTAATAATGGTTGAAATGTTCTGAAGTAACTATTTCAAGCTTTTCTCTTTGAAAAACTGGAGGAGCCTTTTGTTTTTATAGTTTTCCGTTGTTATAGTATGTAATTCAATACTTTTATGCTTTACATTTGGGACTTTGATTTTCAATGTTGTTTTGAAAACTAAGTCTGATACTTCCATGCAATGCAATATGTTATATTTAATCCATTTAATCTATTTCTTCTTTGCTTTGTTTTTAGATTTCTGAAATTCTTAAATCAATTATTGTAATTTTTTATTTTGAAAAGTTTAATACAAGGGGTATTTGAAAAGTTCTGAGAACGAGCACATAATTTTTATATGTTACTCTAGTCCAATAAAGGGAACAAAAAAGATATTTAACCAGTTGAACGATAGTGAGAAATTTTCAATAACTTAATATGTACCCTGGCAAAAACTTGCGTTTCTTCCATATGTATTCTGTATATTAATGAATAGCTTTGGACGATTGTTTCACCTGAATTCTTAAAGGTGTTATTTTTGGTTGAAAGACAATGTTTTTGATAATTAAATATAAATTTACGCAACTCAAATTTATGTTGTTACCCGGATATGCATGAGGAAGAATACCAAAACATTTTCTTATCATTGTAATATTGAAAATATTGTAATTAGCGTAGCGCATTAGCGAAGAGGTAATCGACAATTAACTGAGATAACGGTATAACATAGTCATCTATTATTTATTTAAAAAATACCATAGCCCATGGATGGATCTGCATCTGTCTGTGAGTACTACAAAATGTCAAGTAAATATAGAATTAAAGACCAGACCGCTTCAGAGATAACGTCAAGTCCATAGATTGATGCATTTATTATGACTTCCTGCAGTCATTTGCGAAATAGAACGCTGTCTTGGAGAGCTAAAAGCCCATCATTTCCCAATAAATATTGCATGTTGGTGAAAAGATAGTGAAAAATCTACAAATGGATCACGGCAATCCATCAAAGAAAATCAATTCGAGTAAACATTACAGAACTTAATACGCAAGACTAAAAATTAAAACCACTTTTTGACATAATGATAATCGCCGACGGTTGATTCGGACAAAATTGGATAATTTCGTCTAATATTTACCATCTGAATACGACAAGTGCATTCTGGATTAATTGCCTTCTAACAAAATAACTTTAAACAGGCCTCTTTTGTCATATTTATAAAACCTTATTCCTCTGTGTGGAAATTGATTCTGAGCAAATAAAGATATAAAGGAAAAAAATACAATTGATCAGAAAACTCTAGTTTAAATGTTTACAATTTATCAAATGTTTCGTAATTCCAGGAAATGCATGATTCTTTCCAAATTGATTTCTCATTAGGGACTTAAAATTAAAGTATGAGCGCAGAGAGATGATACAACATTCTAATAAATGTTTTCCTTTCAATAAAAGCAAAAAGAAACATGTTGGTAACTGCAATTTATGTACTGTTTGAAAGTATTTTCCTTTTTATTACATAATGCTTTTGATTTTATGGGGTTTAAGATCAATCTCCAATACTTTTTTTAAATACTTGCCAAAGGCTAATTTTCGTAACTCAAATTCACGAAATTAAATTATTTGCACCAAATAGGCATTTAGTAACAAAAAAATGTGCACAGTCATCACCTATTCATTTAGTATATCAACCAGCGGATACGATTTCAATTCTAATTTATTTGATGCTTTTCAAGAACAAAAAGTAGCGTACATTTCATGTATAATGCAATGAAACGCTCCATTAGCCAATGTCATAATACGTTGTAATGTTTATGTTTTTAAAAGCATATTCTAATCTTGCGTTTTTATTTCTTTAAAGATTTTATCAGGAGCATCTATTCTCATCTTCCCATTTCTGACTGTGGATACGATAGCCAACACAGCCGAGGAACAAAGAAACCCTCTACGAAATTTTCCAGCCTTATTTGCAATTGTCATCACACTTACGATGATTTCAATGATAGCTGTGAGCTCAGCTCTGACTCTCATGTCTCCTTCCAATACATTCGTAGATAACGCAGGAATAGCAGTGATTTTTGAAAATCGTCACATACAAGGTGCGCGTTATGTATTCAGCGTTGGAGCTCTCCTTTTCCTATTAGCATCAACCATTTCCCTTCTCTCGGCTGTTCCCAGAATAATGTATTCCTTATCAAGAGATGGATTATTTCCTGAATGCCTTGGGGATTTAACTTTAAAAGGAAAACTTCCAGTGAAATCATTGCTATTGTCGTTCTTAATATCATTCGTTCTTATATTATGCTGTAAATTAAGTCTTCTTTTGTCCATTTTTGGAGCCAGCACACTGATAACCTTTTTTGTGGTCTCTCTTTGTGTTTTACTTTTACGATACCAACAAGTCAATATTGGAATGATTCAGGAATACGAAGATCCAAATGAAGAAGAATGTATGACAGAGTTTTCGCATCCTTCTTATGTCAATAGACAATTTCAGGCAGATAAGGAGGATTTGCTATTTTTTAAACACTCTCAAAGAATAGAGGAACTAAGAGGAAGCACTTACAAGAAAATGAACAGTATAGTAAGTTTGACTACTGCGGGCAGTGAGAGCACATTATTTCCGCTGCACGTGAGTGACGTCATAGAACCTTCCTCTACATCGTGGTTAATTTCAGTGCTGTGTATTGTGATATACTTTATTTCCTCTCTCGTAGTCTCTCTGATTGTGACGTTTGGTTGGGAATATATCTGCATGGGTTCATGGTGGTCCATTTTCTTGTTGGTTGTTATTCTCGGAACAATGACAGTATCAGCCTTTATTTTACGCAAACAACCGCAGAACCGAAGTAAATTGTTATACAAAACTCCAGGGATACCCCTGTCTCCCCTGTTGTCATTGACTCTCAATATTTTTCTTCTGACGTCACTTCCTTCAAATGCCTTAATTAGTTTTTCTCTCTGGCTTTTTGTTGGTAAGTTAGACAAGTGTTTTGTTTATTTCTCTGTTTATATTTATTTACATCTCCAACAGTTAGTTTAACATATTTTTTTGTCTTTCAGGGGTTGTAATCTACTTTTGTTTTGGAGTTCATAAAAGCAAGGAACGAACATCTGATGAGCAAGAAGTGATACTATATGAAGTTCGTGACAGTGGCTAAGCATGTTTTTTTCAGTAAAAAACAGCTCATTAAATGCTTTCTGCTGATTCAAAACCAAATACAATAAAATGGATGACAGAACATTTTGTGTTTTTCTAGTATATGAGAAATATACTTGAAAGTCAGATATGTAGATGTGTATGTATTTACCAGTGATTTTCATGAATTAATAACTAAAATTGAAGGACATCCAAGTGTCGTTATTGTTTAGTTATTAGTTATTGCTATTGTTATTATTACTGTGATATTATTTTTTGTAATAAAAAAAATTAGTCTTTTTGTTACAAAAAGCAAAATTGATTCTCGTATGATGTAAACTTTAAACTATTGATTGCCAGTAGAGGTATAGTATTGTATCATTGTGTTACGGTTAATATCATTGTCATAAGTATATGATGTAATAATCGTGTTCTATATTTTTAATTTGGTTAGATTAAGTACATTATTCAGATTGTACTTTGATTTACTATTGAAAATTTTGAGAAAACTAAAGGGAGTGAAAGAAATGATTTCTTTGACTAAGCAATTGTAAATCATCAACAATCAATATATTTGAATCAAAATATATAATGTGTACTGGAAATAAAGAAAGTATAAATCTTGGATACATTTCTTGTGATAATATTTATTTTTATTTACATATCCCCAATAGTTCACCGCTTTATTTTATTTTTGAGAAACATGTATGTAAAAAACTAAATGCGCAATTGAAACATGACCAAACCTGGAGTTTGATAATAAATAAAGGCTTATTTATCTCCAAAAGAACACGTTGTATCTCTGAGTTGGGAATAGGGCACAACCAAGCAATATATTTTAGGAGAGAGGGATGGAAAGCAGAAAGTTCCTGATAATCAATTGACAAAATTACAGAAGGTGGAACACCACTTGATTTATCTTTTTTGCAAGATATTGATAATGAATTCCAGAAAGATATCTTTTGCAAGGGTAGGACATCTTCAATTAAATAATTATTATGACGCCATTTCTAATTAAGTAAAATTTATCACTACATGTGGATGCATTTTTTAATTACCTAATATATCAAGGATTAATTAGGTGAAAAATTAAAGGGATACACTTTAAAAATGCACTTAAAGCTCTAATTTAGTGGTCAAGAATATAAAAATCTAGTAAAATTGCATTTCCTTATTTCAACCGCGCCCGAGCTCGAGATTTCCACGCCCCATGTAGATTTAATAAAACGCAACATCCATGATATATGCAACTTGTCTTATATCTGATTACATGTGTGTCAGTCCTTACAAAAATACTACACTTAACTATAGTTTACTATAATAGTTAACTAAAGTTTACATTAGTAAATCAAACTGTCAAAGTTATCGCTATAAGAAAATCAAAGTTTTCAAAGTGATCAACATAGTGTCATACTTTTCAATATATCAAAATTATCAAAGAAAGATATGGAAAGATATGGAAGTTATCACTATAGTAAATCAAAGTTTTTGCCATAGTATATCAAAGTTTTCATAGTGATCACTATGGTAAATCAAAGTTTTCATAATTATAATAACTTTAGTAATGAAACATATGGAGATAAAGAACAGTATTCCGGATCAAAAGTCCATAAAACAATTAAGAAATAGGAGCATAACAAACACGGACCTCCAAAACAGAGGTGGGATCAGGTGCCATGGAGGAGTGAGCATCCCCTGCCGACCGGTCACACCCGCCGTGTTCTCCTTGTCATGATCGGGAAATAACGGAAAAATCCGTCGCCAATTCAGTGTATAAATAATGGACTAACAATTAGCATGAAAAACGTCAGTCAGCATTCGACTCAATGATGAATTGTATTTGCTGACAAGGTCACTGTACCGACCATAAAACTTAAGAAATGATGACTTTAAACGACCCTGCTGAAATTCTTGTATCATCAACTTGTTTGTCAATAATATACCTCGTTTTAGAAATTGTTCATACGTAGATCATATTCTTGCGTATCTAATCAACTGAGATATGTAAACTTCGTATGAAGGAGATGAAGGTATATTGCTGCATAAGTAAAGGAAGTTGACGATAGAAAAGTTAAAGTCATCTCGTTTGTCATAAAGCTTGGTTGCTAGATTGTCATTAACGTCTTTTTCAAGTAATATATCTACACATAAAGCAGATAGGACAGTCTCTTTGGTATCTTTTATCTCAAGCTCACCAGGATGTATCGTATCGACATAAGAATGGAAATTACCATTGTTAATTGACAGTATGTCGTCAACATATCAAAATGTCGAGTTGAAGGCCACAGCAAGTGTTTTCTTCTTTTTACGCATCAGAAATTCTGCTTCATACGGGGCGCAATTGGTACCAATCGAAATTCCAATAGATTGTTGGACACATAGATATTGTCAATCAGAAACTCGAGCATCTTTTTGATGTCGACTTAAGAGTACTTGTGTGTGCACCTCTACAATCAGAATGCTTTTTAACAAAATAATTTTGAAAATGACCAATGACAAGGTAAGTAAATTTTCTATTTCCATTTTTATTGAAAAAGCATCTGTCAATGATATCGAAAAGCCTAAACTTTAATTTATGTTGGGGGAATGGTTGAGTATTAAGTTGAAAAGTCGTTTTTTAGCTACATCGATTTTGGTAAACAAAGTGTCAAGGGTATCACTGTAGTAAATCAAAGTGTCAAAGTTACACTTAAGTAAATCAAAGTTTTCATGTGTCAAAGTTATCACACTATAGTTAACTTTAGTAAACTATAGTATTTTTTTGTTACGAGAAGTGAGAATTTATATAGAAGCTGTAGCCTCTGACGCTATGGAATTGGATTATGCCAATTTGGAATTTTTAACTCATTTCGATGATTTGTTGTTAAGCAAACTGCTTGACTATGATATACGAGGGGTGATCAAAAAGTTCGCAAACTAATTGAATAACTTCCATACAAGAAACAATATTTGGTTTTAATGTTGATTATATTTTAATATAATCCTCCCCGATTTTAATGCACACATCAACCACCGTTCTGCGCATGCGCGAATCACGTGATATTGGCGGTCACGTGACCCCCTCCGTAGCGTTCTGTCACAAAAGTTAAAAGATTTTTCCGAGTTTTATTTTTCTTTCCATGTGAGTTAATTTTTATGACAAGAACAGTTAATTTGTCAGAAATGGTCATATCTCGGCAACAGAATGGGTGGATAATAACATCCTTTCCAAAAATAAGCATGGCGACCATTAAAACACAAATCTTCTGTCTCAGGAGAGACCTTTATTCAAGGTGGATAGAGAATGGGTGCATCCTTTTTATCATATCTAATATGTTTAAAATCTAAAGTAAACGATATCTTAGGTATTTAATACTTATATCATTTTTCAAATATTCAACTATTTTTCAAAGTGCTAATTGGAGGTCTTTGATAGCAAATTGCTCAACTAAAAATACACATCTTTTCAAACTTGCTTTCACTGGGCAAGATGACAAGTATCATTTTTAACCATCAGCCTTCCTTCACTAAAACGATTAATCCAATCATTAATTGAATTTATAGGAACTCATTTATCTCAATAAACTGTGTACAAATTATTATATGATACTGTAGAGGGATTTCTAAGATATCACAATAAATTGTACAGTCGTTTGGTGAACGAGTTCGACTGAGACAACCATTTTTCGTCACAAGTGACCTAAATAGTGACGTCATTTTCACATTGTGACGTCACAAACAAGGAGAGAAACTTTATTCAGCATATGCTCTTTATAGACCTTGTGTATGGCTATGTGTATACCGAATTTCATTCTAATCTGAATTGTGGTTTTGTAGATATAGAGATAGTTTGCGAACTTTTTGATCACCCCTCGTACGCATATCTGATGTCGGGAGTTTAGTTATTATATTATGAGGGAGTACGACATACGCCGACTGTTATGGAATTGCATTACTTTGGAAATCTTTATACATTTCCATTTGGATGATTTGTTGTTTAGCAATATGCTTGATAAATATGATTTATCTGATTTTTCTTAGGTTCATTTTGTTTTGAAACATTGAATAACTAGCGTTAGAATTCATTGTTATATTGTAAGTAGCAATATCTCCAACGATAGGTGTCCTGTGCAGTGATACATGAGGGGGCCTGGAAAGTATTATCGCATATGTGATATGGGATACACAGAAAGATGATAAAAAAATTCCGCAGATATGTGACAAAACATAAGTGTATATTTTCAAGGAATTATAAATACTCAGTTTTTACCAAGTGATCGCTATATAATCCCGCCTTAAAAACAGCCGTTGACCCGTTCACTTTATAAATATAGTAGTTTGTCTGCTAAATATTCAGGAGCAGTGTAATAATTTTTCAAGGAAATAATTTCTTTTTACCAAATTATAAATATAACGTAAACCTGCGCTTCAACCCCCCACCCCACCCCCGCTCTCATATTTCTGCATGTAACTCGTGCTCGAATCTGAAAAATGTGACTTTATATTGCTATATTTTTTTTTTTACTAAAATATATACTAGTATTAGGATTTTAAACCGACTATATGTTTTTAATGGCAAAACCTTACATTTAAATCAAATGGCACAAATGGTCAACTTCCCCGTTTTTCTATTTATATTCAATCATTATAAATGGTGCTGTTGTCCCTGGTCTCGTTTAATCAATATGCAAAAACATAATTCTGGTTACGAGCAGCATTATATTGAAAGAGCTACTACAAAAGAAATATGGTGTAACATGACTTTCAACTGAAACATATGGATATAACAAGCAGTATACAAGATCAAAAATCCGTTAAACAGCACAAAATAAGAGCAGAGCAGACCTCCAAAACATCAGAGATGGGATCAGGTGCCATTTAGGATCATGTAAATATTAGTACATCATGTAAATATTAGCCTTTGCAATATCCATGACCTTCTTAGCAAATAGAACAATATTTTTAAAAAAAAAACACTTGCCCTGCCTTTCAAATCGACATTTAGATATATCGACGACGTATTGTCAATTAACAATGATTATTTCAATTCTTATGTTGATATGATATATCTCGGTTAGCTTGAAATAAAAGAAACCACAGAGTCATAGACATCTGTTTCATATTTGGATATTTTACTTGAAAAGACGTAAATGTTAATCTTACAACAAAGCTTTATGATAAAGGTGATGATTTTAACTTTTCAATCGGCAACTTCTCTTACTTATGCAGAAATATACCTTTATCACCTGCATAAGGAGTTTATATATCATAGTAGATTCGATACGCAAGACGATGTTCTACGAATGTACAATATCTCAAACGAGGTAAATTACTGACAAACAAGTCATGAAACAAGAATATCAGCAGTCTCCTTTCGTAAGTTCTATGGTCAATACAATGACTTCGTCAGCAATACAATTTTTTATTGAGTCAAATGCTGACTGACATTTTTCATACTAATTATTATACCATTATTTAGATAATGAATTATCGACGGATTTTTCCGTTATTTCCCGATCCTAACAAGGAGCACACGGCAGATCTGACCAATTGGCAGGGGATTGTTACTCCTCAATAGCACTTGATCCAACCTCTGATGTTTTTGATGCTCCTATTTTGTATTGTTTTATGGACTTATAGCTTGAATA